TTGGGAATCGCGGTCGACGACACGATCCACTTCCTATCGCGATTCAAGCAAGAGCTCGCCGTCGATGGCGATGTCGAGTCAGCGATCCGGCGGTCCTTCATCGGCGTCGGCGCCGCCCTGGTGATGACGACTGTCATCCTCTGCACCGGATTTGGCACGATGCTCTGGAGCGAGCTCCCCGGCCACCGCACCTTCGCCGCGATGGCGGTCTCGACCATCGCGGCCGCCGTCATCGGCGACCTGATCGCCCTGCCGGCGCTACTGGCGTGCAGCCATCCCCAACAGCGGAAGGCTGTCGGCTAAGCAGGGTCCGATCGTGACTCGCCCCGGAAGCCCCCGTAGCGAAGTCGGTTAGCCACGAGAAGGTGATGATCTGCGCATGACTCCGTCCCGGCTAACCGGCCCTCCTCTGGACATGCGTCTAGATCCCCATAAAGGGCCCTTAGGCGCGTCCTGACGAGCCGCTAAGGGTTTAGTCGGGCCCCCCACGTCGGACGCCAGAGGGGGCCTCCTAGAGCCTTCTGGAGAGGCCCCCGAACGGGTGGGCTCCACTTGCCCTATTCTCACGAGCCCGATTTTGGTCCGACGTGCTCCCACAGGAACGCCCACAGGTCAGCGGCTTGCTCGATCAGCTTCTTGGTGGGCGTCCCTGCGCCGTGGCCCGCGCGGGACTCGATGCGGATGAGCAGCGGCTTGTCGCCGGCGCCCTTCGATTGCTGGGCGTGCTGTAATGCCGCGGCGAACTTGAAACTGTGCATCGGGACAACGCGGTCGTCGGTGTCGGCCGTCGTCACCAGCGTGGCGGGGTAGGCGACGCCCGGCTTCACGTTGTGGTAAGGAGAGTAGCCCCGCAGGTACTCGACCATCTCGGGGTCGTCCGCCGAGCCGTACTCGTCGCGCCAGAACTGGCCCGCGGTGAAGGTGTGGAAGCGGAGCATGTCCATCACGCCAACCGCCGGCAGGGCCGCGCCGAACAGGTCGGGCCGCTGCGTCATCACCGCGCCGACGAG